TATATACGGCGTGCAATGGATAGAAGGGTGTGTGCAAAGTTTCAAATCGATAGCTTTACAACTGAGAGACTAGTTTTTGTAGAAACAGACAGACAGACGGACAGACGGACATGCTCATATCAACTTAGGAGGTGATCCTGATCAAGAATATATATACCTTATAGGGTCAGAGTTGTCTCCTTCACTGCGTTGCACACTTTTGGACAAAATTAAAACACCCTCTGCAAGGGTATAATATGAAAATTGTTGCAGTTATAACGCAGCAGTTATTATATTATATAATATATTCAGTCCAATCTTGCTAGCGTTCCGGAGAAATAGTGTGCTCTTCCATTTCGCTTATTTCTTTAACACACTTTTACTCCGGAGCGCTATGAAAATTGCACTGACTTGTTTTGGGAAAAGAGTTATAACTTCAACAATTTTCATAATTTCCTTATAAAATTGGTCTCGCTTTATTCAGAATTAACGAGACAATATTGATATGTGTCAAAAATGATACCATTTCTTGGAAGTTGTACCGAAAAAATGGCGTCAAAGTCCGAAAAACACGACAAAAATTCAAATATGTCAGTTTTTTGCGTAAAAATGTTATCCTTTTTGTTGAAATAAATTGAAATAGAAACCTTTTTTTTTTAAAGCTACAACATTTACCTATTGACGTAACAAATTTTTAAATTGGTTTTAAATTACGTGCTTAGGAATTTTTAAGAGCAAAAAAGTCCCGAAAAGCCGTTTTTTCTAAATTAATCAGGATTTTGAGGGTGTTAGAAAATTTTAAATATGGTTTTATACCAGAGGTCGGCACGGCCCTATCTCGGGGGCATAGGAAATTTCTCTGCCCGAGCTCTGCCACACACACACAGTATACATGTGTGAAACGTCATGCACACAGCCTACTTTCTGCTATTCGTTACTAACACTAATGCGGTAAAATCATATCAATGTATTGGGGTGCCGATCCCTGTTTTATACTATATTCGACATAATAAACAAATCCTACTAGGTCTCCTCAAAAGTTCCTCCAAATTTTCTTTTTTTGTCGCACTGTGTAATTTATATACAAATTGAAGAATTTATTATCTTTAGTTTAATTTTATTAAAACTTTAAAAACAAAATTTTATTTTCAACCTTATCTCCTTATCTCAACAACTTCATATCTCTATCTTCATTGTGCAAAAAAAAATTAATAAAAATAATTCAAAATTATTCAGTGGAACCGTTGAAATAAAGCGTGAAGGAAAAAAATTGGAAATTGTCGGCCTGTGTAATTGCTTATTGGCCTGTTAATTAATTAAAGACTTGCCGGAAAGTCAATAACCTTAGCATGCTCTCTTTAAACATATCGGCTGGCCTTTTTTGATTCCAAAACTGCAGAAAAAATCAAAACGTTGAGTAAATAATAATTGTCTTGACACAGTTAATTTTCTCTTAGTAAGAACATTAAAAAAAAATTTTCGGTTTTTGGGTTGCCTATAAGTCCTTAATAGCCTCGCAAGAAATATTCACATAAGCGGCATGGAAGGCACGGCGGCAAATCGACGAGCCCCGAACGGCCTTACATGAAGCATTGTGGCAGCAACTTCACCAGTGCACTCAGTATAAGCGAGAGTCAACATGAGCGAAATAATATAAAGTTGTCAAAAAAGTAATGCGGTATTTTTATAGATTTTTCAATTATTTATAAAATTGGTTTCAATTATGCGATTCAAGTCAAATATTCAAGCGATTCAAGCGCCGTTTTGTACGATGACTAGTTCCCAACGTGTTACCAACTTTATGTTATAATTAGGTATTTTGGTTTTTTTTGGTACTATTTGCAAAAGATGTGTGTGGCCGCGTTTTTGTTGCACTATATCGGGGCCATAACTTCAAAAATTTTATTGGAAGCTTAAGAAGCATTAAAATGCCGTTGTCGTAGAATAGTGGTGTTCATCAGAGAACGTCAAGGGTGTTACTTTTTGGCACCCGAATCACACTTATAAGTTTGGAGTGCTTGTCGCACTCACAAACAAAAGGAATAGAACAACACACCCAAATGCACAAATCGCTTTCCGTGTTTCGTGTTTTTGCATTTCGTCACTCACTCAAACAGTAAGCGTAGATTCTATTTCACCAGACACTCAAAAATGTTGCGCAGATTAGTGAACTGCACAGTGCACTCAAAGCAAATGTACAAAAAGCAACAGTAGATCACAAAAGGCAATGCGCAATATTGCGCTGTGAGCGAAACACTTATGTTTTACAGTTATGATTTCGAGTGTCTTAAACTTGTATGTACTGGTATGCATGATCGCTGGTTTGTTTTTTTGGTCGCTTGATTTCAGTTGTTAGTTGAAGTCGTAGAAGGAATAAGCAAAATGCCTGAAACGCCGGACTCTATAACAAGTAAAATTGATTGTGGAACGTACACTTTAACACAAAAACATAAAGGAAAAAGTGTTATGTGGAATATTTTACATTCTATTCTTAAAGAAGACGAAAGTGCCGTGGAAGGGTGGCTATTTTGCGGCACCTGTCGAAAAGTTCTAAAATTTGTGGCTGGCCACACATCAAATTTTTTTTTATTTTATATTAGTCATTGGAGACAAAATTTCATTATCATATTTTTAAGCATATTGTAAGACCTAGTCATTGAAGACGCATTCACTTGTAATAGTTATACGCATTTGTTATTTTTATATTAGTCACTGAAGACGGCAATTACTTTTATTTTTACGACAAACTAATCTAAGATTAAAATGGATCCAAAAGGAAAACTATTATACAAAACTAAGACTATATAAACTATTTGAAATATGTAATGACTTTCTTAAAAACATTAAAATTAAATACACACAACGAAGTAGCAAAACACGGCTTTTATTTTTATCTCACATATGTATATGTATGTATGCATATGTGCATACTTAAAAACAAATATGTATGCATGTATGAAGCTAATGCAAGAATAACAACAACACACTTGTCTCTCACATATTGTTTGTCTCAAGTTTTGTGCTCTCAATTTCGCCCATTCCTTTTGCTTTATCATATTGATCGGCGTCAACTCATGTATACATGCAGAAAAGAGCACGAAGTCGTTTTGCGAGTGTGCGTATGAGCATGTCCGAAAATATCAGTGAAAGGCAACAAACCTTATTTAAGAGTGCCGATCACACTCTAAGTGACGTTAACGCACAATTGATTCGGGTACACTTATTGTTTGGGTGTACCCTTGCCGTTCTCTGGTGCTCATCCCATTGCTCTCGCTGCTCATTTGTTTTTGCAAATGCTCATGCCTACCGAGTTGTGTGAGTCTGCTCACGCCATAAGATTCGTTGCTCACGCCATAAGCATCGTTGGTCCCATCATAATCAAAGGGCAATTACAATAACAATTTTTCGTGTTTTCCCTATTCTCCTCAATCGTACTAATCCGAATGAATTTTGTTGTTGGAGTGCCGAAAACTTTTCACTGCAAGAAATTCATTCTTGTTTTTGTTTCTGCCAAAATGGACGACCTGTAGCGATGAATTTGTTCTTCGCAGAACATTTTTTTTTAACTAAGAAGCTCTGCATATATGTCATAGTATAATAATAAGCTGTTCTAAAATTTGTAGGGCCTTTTTTTAATTGCTGTAATAAAATGTATTTTTTATTATATTGATATTTTTAAACCCCTTGTGAATGTTACTATAATTTTATTTTTCAGTGCAGCCACATGGATGGAAAAAAAATTCTCGCACAAATGTATTGGTGATTTTTTGCATTGGTATGGGAGTTTTCTCTTCCGTATGCAGAGCTTGGGCACCACTGTCGTAGAAGTATTGCAAAATATGACGGATTGAAAAACTACGGATATGACAGATTTCCGCCAAAACTTTAAAGCGTGCCTGTAGACTACTCAGTTTCACCAAGCTCTGAAACCGAAATCCAATTTTGTAAAGGACAATGATGCACTGAAAATTTCTGTGAATACCGTTGTTCTTCTAAGCTTGCATCTTATAGAAAGAAAACTAGAAAAATTTTTCAAAATTACCAAAAACATGTTACTATTGTTGAATATATATTTTATTACAATTTAATTTACAACATTTTTACAATAAAATTATACATTTTTCTTAATAAAAATTTAGGTCGATTGAATCAGATTTCTTAAACATCAACCATGCGTAGATAATTTAAAGTTTAAAATGTTTTTAAGGGTCTCATGTGTATTTATACATTTGTAGCATGTAATAAATTCTCAAATAGTATTGTCATTGATTATGTATACTTTTTTAATTATTGTCCATTACCGTTCACCGATCTAAAATTTTAAACATTTAAGATAGGCATCACTTCTTATGAATTATACAAATTTTATAGTCATGTATGTTTGTACATTTATTACCACACATACATATAATATATTTTCTTGTTTATAGGTTATTCTTAGAAATTGTATCTACGTTATAGATTGTGATATGTTTTTAGTTTATGGTTTTTACAGTTACCTACATATTTATATAGAATAAATCTTTGGTAAGTCTTTGGTAAAAGAACTTACACATATGTATAAATGTTTTATGTAAGTCAAATCAACATTGAGTATCGCTCATTTACTAAAAGTATACATACATATGTACGCATTTATGTATATATGTACATACATATGTATATAAGTATTTACAAAAACATACACTGCGACCCTAACTCCTAGCATCAACCTCTTTAATTCCAATATTTAATAACAAGAAAATTAACATTTTAATTAGTTCATAAGTTTGGCACCAAGCCATTTAAAATGGATTTATTAATTTAAATGGCAAAATTAGAATATCCTCTGCAAGCGTATAATAACTTTTATTATGAATACTTAATTTATAAAAATTAAAGAATATATTATTTATAGCTTATTTTTAACAAAAGATCAAAAACAAAATTTTATTTTCAACTCCTTATCTCAAAAACTATATTTATCTTTATTGTCCAAATTTGAAAAAAAATCAAAATTGTTCAGAGAAGCTTATTTGCTTATTTGCTTATTTGCCTGTTATATGCTACTCAATATTTAAACTATCAAAATACAATTAATTAACATTCTGCGTTAGTTTGGGAAACCCATTTTATCCCTAGTCGTCTTTTTCATCATATATTTTGAAAAATTTATTTGAAAAATGATCTTTAAAATAAAAAAAGTGTTTAAAATAATATAATATACCCAACTTGTATAGTAGTGTATTACTTGACAAAAAATATACAAAATGTCTATTTTTTATCTTTTTAGTGAATCTTGTGTGGACCTATCGAAGATAGGAAGATTACATTCCTGCACAATTCACTTAAAAAAATGGATTTTTGACTTGATTTTTTACTAGATCTTCTAGTAAATGAGCGATAAAAGCATGTGATATCGTATCCTATCTTAAAATTGATTGTTAGGCGCTGCAACAATAAAAGAATAAAAATAACTTATAGTATTTATAAGTGGACATGAAAGTTAAAAACCATCCATTAAAACAATCCAGTTTAATAAATAAATCTTTTCAAAGAAATCTATTAAAAAAAAAATATGCCATTTAATAAATTTTTTTTTTTGACCGTCCTCTGAACGAATGTTTTGAAACTGGAATATTCCTTCTTACCGTGTTGTATAATTTTTAAATTCATTAACTATGTATATTTATTTAAAGATAACTGTTTTTTTATTTAATATAATTAAATATATTTACAATGAATATTTGTTTAAATGTTATTTTTTGTTTAATAAAGAGACTCCATTTTTTTACAAACCTATGCAGAAACACTGAAAACACTCCTTATTCATTTTCATACTTAGAAAATTCAAACTTTAATTGTGCAGATTCCGGTATTATGTGATTAAGCCAATTTATTTCATTGTTGTTATTAATCTTTGTAAAGTGGGAATCATCATTGAACCATTCCATGGGGATTAACTCATTTTCCTCAGATGACCGGTTTTTTTTTTGCATGTTCCTTAACAATTCGATCGATGGAGATGTCATAAAGCCTCTTGCAATGCGATGAAAATTTTCATTTTCTTTTGGCTATAAAAAAAATTTAAATCATATGCTTATTATTATATTTAAATTATGGTTTTAATGTAATTAAAATTTGGTTAAGTGTGTTCCGACTGCGCAAAGGATAAGCAACGGCCACTTTTTGTGGTTAAAAATCATTTTTTTAAAGTCCTTAATATAAGGATCTAAAAACGTCATTACGTTCATATCTAAAAAGTAAACAGACTAATCCACTGTAAAGATAAAAGCTAAAGTTTGACAAGCAAATTGTTGGCTTTTTTCATATCTTTAAATGTGAACTAAAATAAAAAAATAAAATAAAATTTACCCTAAAATTTAGAAATTCACCATAAAACATACATTCTAAATACAAGAAAAAATTTCTAGTTTCTAGAAAAAATTTTCTGAAAACAAGGAAAATTTCTTAAATCAAAGAAGATTTTCTCAAATATAGAAATAGTCGCCATAAACTGAAATCGCCCTACAAACAAGAAAATGTTTCTATAATTAATGAAAATTATGACTTATTTTCAGGAACTATTTTTTTAATAATAGAAAGGCTCACCATGAAAGAAACTAACCCTAAAAAGTAGAAAACTGTTTCTACAATATTCTAGAAATACAAATACAAGAAAGGAAATTCCTTTCTAAAAACGCACAGTGTTACCCTTTAATTTAGGTAACCCTAGAAAATGGAAATATATTGTTTCATTTAGAATTTTTTTTATATTTTATCTCTGTCAGTGGTCGGCACCCAATACATTGATATGATTTTAACGCATTAGTATTAGTATAGCAGAAAGCAGAAAGTAGGCTCTGAGCATGACGCGCCATGACGTTCCACACACTTATACTGTGTATGTGGCAGAGCACGGGAAGATAAATGCAGACTGATCTATATTATATTTTATATATAAAGCTTAAACATGTTAAATACAAAAAATTATGTTAAGAAATAATGTAACGATATTTGAACTATCAAATATCGCACAAACAACGGAGTCTTTCTTCTCTAAGATGTTGACATTACAAGTTTATTGAAAAGTTTATTTAACAAGTGCTAATGGATTTCTTGCTGAACAAGTTAAACTGAGACTTGTGAGACTAAAACCATTCCGTCAACAAAGCGAAGGGTAAAAAGGCAATAATTACACTACCTTAAAACATGTTTTAAAACATTCACGATTAAATAGTATATTGATATATTTATATCGCAAGAATAATTGACGTGATTTTTCCACATATAAAAAGGACGCACATGGTTTACGCTATTCTAGTCCCCACCAAAAGGGGAAAACGTGGTGCTTCTGGAAATTTATAAGTCAAGTATACAATTCAAGATTCGAGGGTTAAATTTATTATATACCATAAATAAAGTCTTATGTGAAAGTAAGAACTGAAGAGAGCTATCAAAGGAAACAAATATAAGTGTAAAAATAATGTAAAAATATGTAAATGTAAGATGTAATAAGTAATGTAAGATGTAGAAAAAAAAGTTCTAGTATTTAGAAAAGTTTACCCTTAATTGTTTATATTGTAGAAAGGGTTTTCTTAATTTTAGGGCGCGTTGCCCTGGGGCTTAGAAAAAAGTCGCCATGAAATCAAGACTTTTTTTCTTGAGAATGGTTACCCTGCAGATCAGTGAAGCTGGAAAACTGAAGCGAAATGGATAAAGGAAATGTGTATGCAGTAAGCAGCCAAATCAGGCCCTCCTCTCCTTCTTTTATTTTCGGAAAATGAGCCGTGGGATATAAAAAAATGTTTCATCAAATATTAGTGGGATATACAAGAGATTTTTCATCAAATATTAATACAGCAATAGGATAGTTGCGCTCAGAGATTTCTATGAAGGCAAGAAGATGACCGAAAGGACTCGGAAATCTATGAGATGACATGAGAGATGGCGTTTCTAGGTACGTGCACACTGATCCCCGGTACCACTAAGTGGACCGTTACGCAGACAGCTTCGCAGACGAGGATGAAGCTATGGCCCTTAAAACGGTAAGATATATGCAAGTGCCGGTTTAGATCTGTGTCGGTTTTCTTTCAGTTCGGCAGGAGTGGTCAGAGCCTTAAATCTGCTAGACACCTACAAGAACGTCGAGTGGACCAAATCGCAAGAAAAAGTATTGGGAATGTATTGGCATCCGGCCACAGATGACGTCAGACTCTGCGTCAAATTCTATCGGGTTCACAGGAAGGAGCTCCTTAGCCTTGTGAAGTCCACTAGGAACACGGCTGATGAACACTGTGAAATCGAAACATAGTATGGAGATAAACGGATGTGTACTTTAGATGGATTTCGAAACCGTGCTGCCCTGGATAAGCAGCACCTACCGGCGGTACAAGCAGTTTGTTTGAAACCTCTTGTCAGAAATCTTAAAGTTGACGGGAGTATCCTAATAAAGACGGGTACCAACTGCCGAAAACGTGGAAGACGACGGAATCAGGCTGCAACGAATTCGGCCAACGAAGGCCGAATTATTTATCTACAGGTTCCTGCATCATCGCTTTGAGGAACTTCGTGAGCCACTGAGGGTGGTGCTTGGGAAAGGATGGTCCTGTCCGTCAGGAGGTGTTGGACCTTACGATGAGGATAAACGAGTGGATCGAAGCGGAGAACTTAGTCAATTCTCGCTTACTAGTGCACTTGCCAGTCACAGTGAAAAGAAGGAATGGCGAGTAACCAGGATTATTAGAGACCGCTTCTGGAAGCGAAGGGTGGACTAGCATTTGATTCTCTTCTGCACATGTAGAAATGGTGCGAGCACGTGGAGCCCCTGCGTCGAGGAAACTTGGTGTCTATTTTTGATCCGGTCATACCGAGAGAGTGGAAACGAGTCATTGTGGAGGAGGTGTGCACTGGAGTAGATGGTGCTAAACGCAACTCCTGGGATTAAGTTCGGCCTGACTCCTCTTAAAATTTTCCGATTTTTCTTAACTTTAATTTGTATATACCATATGTATTAGTATAAGCCATTGGGGTATTTTGGCATCAAAACCAGAAAACATTGATGAACTGGCGCTAGAACAAGATTTCCGGTTTGGGGGTTGGGAGTGAGAGTGGCTAAGTTTTGACACAAACTTGATCTACGTTGTTACTATCAAGTTCCGATTCGGGATGCTCAATCTCTAATAATCTCCAAAATCCATCCATTAATAATTTAAACATTTTAGTATGGAAATCAGTATGTAAATATCAATAACTTTTTTAAAAATCGAACGCTGAGCTGAATTTTATCTCTGTGACTATCCGCTGTAATTGTTGCAAGCGAAACAATAAAAATCAGGGACCGTAATCATTATGATTTTAATTTTAAGAATTACGAAGTTATTATTATTCTCTGAGTGAAAAAAATAATCCATGAATAATAATTATTTTTGATTTTTTTTTTCGCTCAAAAATATCACTCATATCATGATTTTGCGCTATGTATTAGATTTTTTTGATTTTTGACTGCATATCTCATCAGACAATATAAAAAGGTACCATGAATATGAAGATTTTTATACCCTTGCAGAGGGTATTATAATTTTGGTCAAAAGTGTGCAACGCAGTGAAGGAGACATCTCCGACCCTATAAAGTATATATATTCTTGATCAGGATCACGTCCTGAGTTGATATGAGCATGTCCGTCGGTCCGTCTGTCCGTCTGTCTGTCTGTTTCTACGCGAACTAGTCTCTCAGTTTTAAAGCTATCGACTTGAAACTTTGCACACACCCTTCTTTTCTTTGCACGCAGTATATAAGTCGGAACGACGAGAATCGGCCGACTATATCCTATAGCTGCCATATGACTGATTGATCGGAAATGGTATAACTTCGGTGTTTTTAGAGTGAGAGAATTTTTTACACGAGCGCAAATTTTACACGAGCGCTATTTTTGGCAAAATAATACGACATGCCAAATTTCATAAGGATCGGCCGACTATATCCTATAGCTGCCATATAACTGAACGATCGGAAATGACCCAACTTTCGTGTTTTTGAAGATAGAAAGCTGGAGCTTGGTACAGATTATATTCTTAGTTAGTTAATCCGACCTACCAAATTTCATACCGATCGGCCGACTATATCTTATAGCTGCCATATAACTGAACTAGTTATGTGGAAATAGTTTTTGGTTTAAATACCAACTTTGGTATTTTTGAAGATAGAAGCTTGAGACTTTTTTTTTAGATTTTCTATTGTAATAACTTGGATTATATATTCATATTCCTATAAGGATCGGCCAACTATATCCGATGTTTGCGATATATATCCGGTTTTAACTGCAAGGGTATATAAACTTCGGCTCCACCCGAAGTTAGCTTTCCTTTCTTGTGTATATTAAAAAATACTTGACTCTAAAGCTTCAGATTTTAATTTTTCAATTATACAATTTTGACAATTGACATTGACAATTTTCACGTTAAAAACAAATATCTTTGAAAGCTCGGTTCAATAAATCATTATAATTTTCGTAGATGGCCATGACATTTAAAAAAATGATATTCAAAGTTCCTTATTAATTAAAAATAAAAAGCTTAAATATTTATAAAGAATTCATTAAAATGTTGTCGGACTTTTCCTTAATGGAAATTATTAAAATATGGCATGCTGTACAAGTTTCAATAAGAAATCTTCCATAGAAAAATTGGTTTCTATGATTCATAGCAGTTTTATATTAAATTTTTCCAACTTTTAGTGGTACGAAGGGGTGATAGTGAAAAAATCATAGTGATAAATGGTACCTCTATATATGGGGTCTAAGGAGATAAGCAGTCAAATATCAAGAAAATGATAATCCTGATAAAAAAAATCGTTAAAGCTTCTAATGGAAAAACAAAAGTTAATAATGTTCCTTTTTCTGTAAGAATGGCAGGACCTTTAGCCAATGATTTTGATAATAATATCATTTATATGACCATTAGGAGCACCCGATAATAAAATTTTTAGGCGAATATTAGAATATCTATTTTATGTACAGCTAATTGAGGCCAACTCCAAGCACACTTAGGAGTCCTTCGGGTGGAAGCCCTCAAG